AGAGGGTCAGAGGGAGAAGCAGACTCCCCGCTGAGCAGGGAGCCCGATGCGGGATTCGATCCTGGGACTCCAGGATCATGACCTGAGCCGAAGGTGGTCGCTTAACCAACTGAGCCACCCAGGCGCCCCAAGATTTTATTTATTTATCAGAGAGAGGCAGAGGCAGGCAGAGGGAGAAGCAGGCTCTTTGCTCAGCAAGGAGCCCGATGTGGGACTCAATCCCGGGACTCTGGGATCATGACCTGAGCCGAAGGCAGTCGCTTAACTGATTGAGCCACCCAGATGTCCCTAGGTTTAGTTTTTAAAGGTACTGCCATACTGTTTTTTACAGCAGCTGCAAACTTTTACATCCCCACTAGCAATGCACAAGAGTTTCAATTTCTCCACATCCATGCCACCACTTCGTATTTTCTGGGTTTGGGTTTTTTTTTTTTTTTTTCTTTTCTTTTTCTAGATAATAACCATCCTAAGGGATGTGAAGTGGTATCTCATGGTTTTGATTTGCATTTCCCTAATGATTAATTGATTTGAGCATCATTTTGTGTGCTTATAGGCCATTTGTATATCTTCTTTGGACAAATGTATATCCAAGTCCTTTCCCTATTTTTTTCAAAATTTTTAAATTGTGGTAAAGTAGGGGCACCTATGTGGCTCAGTCAGTTGAGCATTGACACTTGGTTTTGGCTTGGTCATGATCTTGGGGTTGTGGGATCAAGTCCGGTCGGGCTTGTGCTCAGCAAGGAGTGTGCTTGGGATTCTTTCCCTCTTCCTCTTCTTCTCCCTCTGCTCCTCCCCCCGTTTGCATGTATGCATGCATACGTGCTCTCTCCCTAAAATAAAATCTTTTTTAAAATTGTGGTTAAAATATACATAAATTTAACTACCTTAATTAATTCTATGTGCATAGTTCAATGGTACTATGAACATTCATATTGTTGTGCAATTATCACCACCATACATTTCCATTCCTCTTTTTATCTTGAAAAACTGAAACTTTATACCTGTTAAATAATAGTTCCCCATTCCTTCTTCCCCTCCCCCCATCTTGGGCAACCACTATTTCACCATTTGTATCTATGAATTTGACTACTCTAGGTACCTCATAGTAGTGGGATCACATGATATTTGTCCTTTTGTGTCTGGCTTATTGCACTTAGCATAATGTCCTCAAGGCTCATCAATGTCATAACATGTCAGAATTTCCTTCTTTTTTAAGGCTGAATAATATTCCATTGTATGCCACACTTTGTTTCTCCATCCATCCATTGGTGAATAGGGGTTTACTTCTACCTTTTGGCTATTGTGAATAATACTGCTAAGAACATGAGTGTGTAAATATCTTTTTGTGTTCCTGTTTTCAGTTCTTTGGGGTATATATGCAGAAGTGGAAATGCTGGGTCATATGATAATTATTATTATTATTTTAGTATTTATTTAAGTAATCTGTACACTCAACATGGGGCTCGAACTCATGACCCTGAGATCAAGAGTCACATGCTCTTCTGACCAAGCCAGCCAGATGCTCCTCACATGATAATTTCTGTGTTTAATTTTTTGAGGCACTGCCATACTGTTTTTTACAGCAGCTACACCATTTTACATCCCCACTAGCAATGTACAAGGTTCCAATTTCTCCATATCCTTAGCAACACTTTTTATTTTCTATTTTTGTTTGCTTATTTATGGTAACCATCCAATGGGTATAAAGTGGTATCTCATTGTGGTTCTGGTTTGTATTTTCCTGATTAGCAATGTAGAGCATATTTCATGTGCTCATTGGCCATTTGTATATCATCTTTTGAAAAGTGTCTATATATAAGTCCTTTGCCCA